AATCCATAGAGAAATTATTCACACACACACACACACACAAAGCAAAAAACCCAAAACCAACCAACCGAATAAAACCAACTTACTTTCTAAGTTGGTCATCTAACACAAGAGGTCAGAATTAGCCCTTGTTGCTACATTTCTTAATTTCCATCAGCACATGAAATTTAAAATTAAGTCCCAGATAAGAAGACATCATACCATCTAAGCATTGAATGAAGAAAGGCTGGTAGCCACCATCATTGTGGAAAGACCCACAGAGCCCCTTCATGAGACCAGATACTGGGAAACAGGCTTCTAACCATGAAAAGAACTTCCTTGTCCACTGGCTTCCATATTTCCCTCCTACTGCTATATTTTAAGAGGCAGCTGTTAGGTTGTGGAAAGAGCATGGGACTGGTGTAATGGAAAATAAATCGCCACAGGGGAAAGGTGGCCAGAGAGCTCCCCAGGTTCAGAACAGGGAGAATCTTTCCCTGGCGTCTGGGAGTTGTCTGGCCCTTGGTAAGTGCCTTTCAGGCTCCGTCAGAGCAGACCCTCCTTCAGGTCAGGAAGAACAAGGTGGCCACTGTTGTCCATACCGAGGTCTCACGGAGGGCAGTATAACAGGGTGGTAGCCCAAATGCTAATGGCTACCTCGCTCACCAGGCAATACCGGGACCTAATCACAGACTTCGGGGATCCCATCTGATCTACGGAAAGCAAGCAACACTTTTTATGATAATCTTATGTTTATGCAGCATCAATACCACAAACAGTTCTGAAACCCCGGAACTTTCCGGGGATGCAGGCCATCCAGAGATGAGGATAGTCTCCCCTGGAAGCCTTTAAGGAGCTGGCCAGGAAGACAGAGGTGAACACAAAGGATCGAAGTGCAGCAGAATCACCAAGCAGGGGTGGCAGGAGCTCGGGGAGCAGAAGTGGGACCCCGGCTCTTCCACATGCTTTCTGAGATGGACCACAGTCGATTCAAAGTTCTCACCAGCAACGAACATGTTAGAACTGAGAGAGTTTCCTAGTGTGGGGCTTCCTGAGTTCCCACATGAGGCGTGAGCCGCAGTGTTAATGCCAGGGCTTTACAGATAAAGACGCTGGGCTATATACTGCAGGCTTTCCCGTGTTCATTTACCTGGATTAAAAGCCACTTAGAGATGCACAGGGAAGGCAAAGGGAACATGGATATTGTGGATGCTCATTTTGTGTTCTCGTTGGACAGGGTGCACTGGGAGGTCAGGGCCACGCGTGACCCCCGAGCACTTGAACGGTAGCTAACCTGGCCCAAGATGTACTGATGTGCATCTTACACCCTGAACACTTAGTTCAGGTTCAGACCCTGAGCACTTAGTGTGAAAAGAAGGCTGTGAAGTAGCTCAGTAATATTTTTATATCGACTGCATATAAGAATGACAATATATTGCATGTATCTGGGTTAAGTACAACATATTATTAAAATTAAGTTAAAATAATCACCTGTTTCTTTTTCACTTTTTAAATGTGGCTACTAGGAAATTTGAAATGACTTGTATGGCTTGTCATAGATTTCTCTTAGGCCGTGCTGCTCTAAACCAGGGGGAGGGAGAACATCCCTGCTCCAAAGCCTCAGACCTGCTTTGGCAGAGAGGCAAGGCTAGCTGGCAGACAAAGGACAGGGTTGAGCTGTCAGTAAGGAGTGCCCCTTGGTGTAGCTGGGACCGTTCCTCGACACCTGGGACCACCAGGATCCCAGGAACTTGGGAGAGTCCTCCAGCCAACTGACAGGATCGTCGGTTGGACATTGGAAGACTGTCACTGTCCCACTGAGGCTGTGGCCGACACATGACCCACGTGTGTCGTATCTGCCTGCCTCCACGGAGCTCTGTTAGGGAAGCACCTGCTACATGTGTTATTGATAGAACCGGTTAACGTGGAGCGAGAATGATGTGGTAAAATCCTGCGTCTGTCAACCGCACAGATACAAAAGTTGCAAAATCCTAATTTTTGCTTCAATGCTCTAATTTTATCGCTGGCAACAAGTCCCGTCAGCCGCTTTCTTGAAGTTGCGGGCTCCACTCCCTCCGTGTTAGAGGAAATGTCTACGAGATAGTCAAGCCCCGATAACCACGGTTTCTTTCTTTTGAGCGAAAACAGTGCTCTGTGAGGCCCATGGGGGTTGTAGCTCCCAACTCAAAACGAGGACCCAGTACTCTTTCTGGAGACAGCTGGATACCGGGGTGTGCAGCAGGAGCGCCTTATGTATACTTCTGTTACTCGCAGGTTGAGATCTGATAAAATCACCATTTTGCAATGCTTCGCCAAGATTCTTCTGACGTGTAGCAGGGCTTTCTATCTTCCTCGAGTTCATGGCAGCGCCGAACACAGCGAACACTGTGTGACTTGTGCACAATCAGTCCAACCCTCTCCACCACTGCTTTTGTACTCTGAGTACAAATGCCAACACAGAGAGACGGCAAATAACGTCTTCTGCTTCCACCTCGCGGGCACCCTGAGCAGATCTTGAGGATTCCAGGATTCCTGGGGAGGGTGGGGGGTTCACGGGCCACATGTGCAGATCTGCCCACTTAGGCCAGTGAGGATCCATCTCTCTGGGGCCACTTGCCTAGTCAGTGTGACCCGAGAGGACAGAGGGGGCAGCTCCCCCGAAGAAATCCTACGTTTTCATTTGGGTTGGTTGGTTTGGGTTTATAAAGACGAGAAAAGTGGATGGGTAGTGTGTGGCCAGACTAACATAATCTCACTTATCTCACTTGGCCCGAAGCAGTCCTTTGAGGGTGGGGACTGACATCATCCCGCTTTGCAGATGAGGATGCTCGTGGCAGTTAATTCTTCACCCAGGGTTAGACCCCCAGAAAGTAGTGGAGTTTGGACTCCATCCCAACTCTTACCTAGACCAAGATCCCCAAATGGAACACATGAACATCACCTGTGTCTTTAAATATATTTTAATAAATGGATGATTTCCAATTTAAAAAACATCATCGGTGGACCCTTACATCCAATGAAATCTAGAACAGAAACCTAATCTATAAAATAAACCAAAAAGGGGCACCTGGGTGGCTCAGTCGATTGAGCGACCAACTCTTGATTTCGGCTCAGGTCATGATCTCACGGTTGTGGGGTGGAGACCCGAGTCAGACTTCGCACCCAACAGGGAGTCTGCTTAAGGATTCTCTCTCTCGGGCACCTAGGTGGCTCAGTTGGTTAAGCGACTGCCTTCGGCTCAGGTCATGATCCTGGGGTCCTGGGATCGAGTCCCGCATCGGACTCCCCC